GGAAATATGCACCAGTGGTTCCCAAGTGCTGGACCACGGACTCAGTGGCATCAGAGTCACCTGTGGGGCATTGGGAAGTGTAAATCCTTGGCCTCAATCCCACATTTCCTGATTTAGTGAGTCTCGGGTAGGTCTCAAGGATTCACAGTTCTAAAAAGCCAGGTTTGAGAACCCTTAAGAGTATTAAGTCCATGAAAGGAAAGATCTTCCCTGTCTCATTCACCATTGTACCTCCAGGAGCTAGATCAGTTTCTGCCCATAAAAGTTTCTCAGTAACTATGTAGAATAGCAGCTCCATAACTGAACTGTTGGCATCAACTACTTCCAAAGGTTATAAATTAGGCTGAACCATATGAAATGACCATTTTTTGTGGGTCACAAATAGTCAAACTGAGGCAGTTTCATGTAGTTTAATATCTTATCAGTAAAACAGATGATATAAAAATTATGATATTCATCTCATGGGAGTCAACAAAAACTTTAGAATTATAAAGGGATCCTATAGTAGCCAGTCTCCAAAATGATCTTCATGATCCTCACTTCATGATATTCATGTATGGGTGTAATGCTCTCCCCCTGAGTGTGGGTTGGACTTAGAGAATAGAATACGGCAGAAGTGGTGGTATGTCACTCTTAATTAGGTTAAAAAGAGACTGCAGCTTCTGTATTGGGTATACTCTGTCTCTCTTGGATCACTCAGTCCAAGGGAAGCCAGCTGCCACATCATAAAGACACTCAGGCAGCCCATCCCCACCATGGGGGAATAGAGGCCTCCAGCCACCAACCACAGGAGACAGCCTGGAAGAGGATTCCAGCGCCAGTCAAGTCTGGAGATGCAGCTTTGCCAGAGTTTCCCAATTAAGCTGCTCCATATTCCTGACCCTCTGAAACTGGATGAGAACTTAAATATTCACTGTTATAAACTGCTATGCTTAGAGATTGTTTACTCCCCAGCAATAGATAACTAATAGAAGCCTTCATTTTCAAGATGCTAGGAACTGATGGTTGAGTAGTTTTTACTTCAGCATACTTTCACATATATCCTATAAGTTTTTCAAGACGAGTTTTAATTCCTTTTCATTATTGAGGAATTTGAGTCATATGCATTGGTGGAGAAGGTATTTTATTTGGAATCAGAAGATGCCATTTTTTAGCTGTGTAATTTTACAGATAACTTAATTTCTCTGAGCTTGTCTTTCCTTTTAGACAAAATGCAGATTACCACAATGCCCCTTGTCTTAATGTTTATTGTAGGGATTAGATTATGAATACAGTGGATCAACTCTAAAGTGCTATTGAAATGCTAATTTTAATAGATGATAGAATTAATCACCTTTCACCAATGATAAGTCAATCAAGGTAACATAGCTAGTCTGTTGCAGAATAGGAACTTGCACCCAAGTCTCCTAATAGGAGCTAAGAACAGGGCTTAGCTATCTTCAGACAGTGTGAGCCATCTTTACCCTATGAGCCTCAGTTTCCCTGTAAGTAAAATCAATAAAATGAACCAAGTGATACAGGGTTAACAGGCATTGATGAACCTAAGGAAAGAATGCTTGTCCAGATGTCTAAGTCTCCAGAGAGCCAGGGTGAGGTGTGTATCTGACATCCCTGGGGTTTCAGGGCCTGGCTAGGCTGAGAGTTGAGGCTGCAGGAAGCCTTGTGACGTGCTCAGGGTGGGTGGCAGTCTTGGAGAGGCAGCCTTGCAGAGGCTGCCGATACCACTGCCAGGGGAGGTGGGGCTCATTCTTCTAATTGTGCTGCCAGCCCCACAAGCCCCTGCAGTAACATCCTATCCTCTGTCACTTCAAACCCATATACCTCGGATTTGTGCTGGTGCCAGGAGAATTCACAAGGAATTCAGTCTCCATTCATTCAGGAAATCAAGCAAGGCTTGGGGGGAAGAATGAGAAAACGCGGCTTTGGAGCTTCTAAAGAAGACGAGAGCCTCAAGCTTCAAGTCAGGCCGAGAAGGCCGGGCTCAAGGCAGGTCGGAGTTGTACAAGACGGGTAATAATACTGTTAACTGGAGTTTGTATAGCACTTTAAAGTTTTCAAAGCACACGCTATATATGTTCTCATTTGAAGTTCATTATCCTCATTTTCAGCTAAGAAACTAAGCCTCAGGGGGATCAGGTAATTCATGGCAGAATCAACTTGAACTTTGTGAAAGTCTTCCAAATTGTATCCTCTTTCCACTGGATACTCCTGTACCTGTCAGTACTATTTCCTGTTTCCCACAGTGGTGATTTTGTTACTGTTGCTGGCCTTGTCCTCCAAGAGTAAAAGCTCTTCAAAAGCAGACAAAAAGAAAAACATGATTCTGATCACACATCATGAGGGAGAAAATTTATAATCTGAGATGCCTGACGAGTGAGTGAGTGCACACGGTGGCGGCACACAGTGGTCTGTACACCACTGAACATCTCTGTGAATGTGGGAAATCGGTGCCTGATTCCTGCAAGTACACGACTTTGTGGAGAATCAGGGGCCTCTTTGTAGGAGCCAAAAGAACTGGGTTTGCTCTTTCTTGCCTAAATGCTGATGCTACTGTGGCGTCCCTGGTTTTGGGTGGGGCAGCGTGGAGCAAGCTGAGGAAGGATGGAAGGTCAGGAGTAGGCAGGAGCTGGCCTGGGGCCGAGATCGCTGACTGCAGAGGTGGCTGCTGTACCAGCCCAACGCCTGGGGGTTTGGAAAAAGGCAGATCTGATGGGAATCCCAGCTCTGCCTCTGGAGGGCCATGTGGCTTCGGGCAAATCATAACACCTTCTCTGTTCCTCGTTTTCACAACGAAAGATCAATGACACTACTGTTGCCTATTCTGGGTACCTATTTATTTTGACTGTCCCATGGGATCTCATGCTGTTGGATAGGGCTTTAGGGCAGAGGTTGGCAAACTATAGGCTGTGGGCTAAATCTAGCCTAATGCCTGTTTTTGGAATAGAGCATGAGCAAAGAATGGTGTTACATTTTACATTTTTAAGTAGCTGCAAAAATATAATACACACAGAGGAAACCAGAATTGGAAGAGACACATGTACCCAAATGTTCATCACCACACTGTTTACAATAGCTAGGACATGGAAGCAACCTAGATGTCCATCAGCAAATGAATGGATAAGAAAGCTGTGGTACATATACACAATGGAATATTACTCAGCTATTAAAAAGAACGCATTTGAATCAGTTCTAATGAGGTGGATGAAACCGGAGCCTATTATACAGAGTGAAGTAAGTCAGAAAGAAAAACACCAATACAGTATATTAACACATATATATGGAATTTAGAAAGATGGTAACGAAGACCCTATATGCGAGACAGCAAAAGAGACACAGATGTAAAGAAGAGACTTTTGGACTCTGTGGGAGAAGACAAGGGTGGAATGATTTGAGAGAATAACATTGAAACATGTATATTACCATATGTGAAATAGATGACCAGTCCAAGTTTGATGCATGAAACAAGCCGGTGCACTGGGCAACCCTGAGGGATGGGGTGGGGAGAGGGATGGGAGGGGGGTTCAGGATGGGGGCCACATGTACACCCATGGCTGATTCATGTCAATGTATGGCAAAAACCACTACAATTTTGTAAAGTAATTAGCCTCCAATTAAAATAAATAAATAAAATAAATAAAAATTTAAAAAAAAATAGGGAGAGTAGTAAAATTGTTACCAACCTGAAACTATTTTTAAGCAAATAAAAAAGCAAGTAGCAGAAAAAAAGAAACAATATTTTGTGATACATGAATATTTTATAAAATTAAATTATATGCATATTTAATTATATGTAATTATATAACATTTGTAAATGTAATTATATATTATAATATATAAATGTTATATGTGTCATATTGTAACATGTTTGTTATATAATTTAAATTTATTTATATATCTACATATATTTAGATATAAATATGTTTATACATAAATATAAAATTAAATTTTTATATTCTAAAAAATTTTTGCTAGACTACACAGTCATGCTTATTAATGGACTATCATTGTCTGCACTATTTTCATGGTACAACAGCAGAGTTGAGTAGTTGTAATAGATACCATATGATCTGTAAGCCTAAGTTACTGTAGGGCCCTTTACAGAAATAAGTGTCTGACCCTGCTTTTACAAGGCTTATAGTTCTGGTATAACACTGTGGGGTAAGCAGATAAGTGAGAAAAGAGGCTTTGAGAGAAAAAGTGAATCAATTAATGCCACATAGCTTTACAAAAAAAGGAATTTATACTGGAACCCAAACTGCAAGTGACATTGTTTTAATCCCTACCCAAGTTTGTAGACTTTGGTTAAACAGCACACAGATAACGGATCAAGCGGTGTGAGGGGGATTAGCAAATAGGTTATGAAGCCGAAGCAGGGAGAACAGTTTATAAACGCAGGGACCCAAGCATCCGGGCCGCTAGAGCAGACGTTCTTTCAAAATATACAAGGGCAATGCGGTTAGTAACAAGCATGAAGGAGACCTTCCAACTCACCAGTGAGTAAAGAAGTACAAGAAAATTTTAATGAGATACCAAGAACTGACTCATTGGAAAAGACCCTGATGCTGGGAGGGATTGGGGGCAGGAGGAGAAAGGGACGACAGAGGATGAGATGGCTGGATGGCATCACCGACTCCATGGACATGAGTTTGAGTAAACTCCGGGAGTTGGTGATGGAACAGGGAGGCCTGGCGTGCTGTGATTCATGGGGTCGCAAAAAGTCGGACACAACTGAGCGACTGAAGAGACTGACTATACATTCTAAACTAGCAAAAATGTTAGATAATCATGTCTGATAGAGGTGATGTGCTAAAACTGGAATAGTTACTTACATATTGCTTATAGTCATGTAAAGTCATTAAAGATCCCTCAACAAGAATCAATATCGCTGATTCTTGTTGATGTGTGACAGAAACCCACAAGATTCCGTAGAGCAATTATCCTTCAATTAAAAATAAAATTTAAAAGAGCAGACACTACTACTGGGGGGCGTACCTCATTAAATGCTAACTGTGGGGCCTGGGCGCCGCCACCTTGGGGAGCCGAGTGCCCGGCGGGCCGCCGCCCCGTGGGGACGCAGGGCGCGCGCGGGCGGGGCTCAGCGGGGTCCCGGCTGTGGAGGCGCCCGCGGTCCAGCTGCCGCCGTTGCTGCTGCTGTTGGTGGCCGGGGCCCCGGAGCCAGGCAGCACCTCGGCGGAGGCTCCGCCTCTCGTCAGCGGAGAGGTGAGGCGCACGGTGGGCCTGGGCAGCCACCCGGCCAAGTCCCGGCGCACGCGGGCGGCGGCCCGGCGCCGCGCGCTGCCTCCTTCCTGGTGGCGCTGGAGCCCGATTCGGAGGCCCAGCTGGCACACCTCGGCGTGCAGGTGATGGGAGTGGATGCGGAGGCCAACAGTCTGCACGTACGGGAGACCAAAAGGAACGGCAAAAGCGGGAGGCCCTTCACGGTCCAGCTCCCAGTCGCTCTTGATCCTGGGGCCGAGGTTTCAGTCGTTGTGGAAGCTGTTTATACCCACGCGATTCAGCCGTATCCAATCCAGGTCACCCAGTCTGAGAAACAGTTTGTGGTGTTTGAGGGGAATCGTTATTTCTACTCTCCCTACCCGACCGAGAGGCAAACCATGCGTGTGAAGCTCGCCTCCCCAGACGTGGAGAGCTATACGAGATTGGGCAACCCCATGCGCCACGAGAACCTCCTGGGTTACGGCCCTTTCCAGGACACCCCTGCCTATAGTCAGGGTAGTTTCAGAGTACATGCTGAGAACGACAGCCCTCTCCTGACCGCCAGCAGCATGACCCGAGTCATCGAGGTCTCCCACCGGGGTAATATTGCTGTGGAAGAGCACGTGGACCTGAAGCACACGGGGGCTGTGCTGAAGGGGCCTTTTTCTCGTTATGATTATGACAGATGGGCAGATAGTGGCAGCTCCTCCATCCGTTCTTTTAAGACCATCCTTCCTGCCTCTGCCCAGGATGTTTATTACCGGGATGAGATTGGCAGCATGTACACCAGACACCTGCTTATTTTGGATGACTCGGTGGAGATGGAAGTGAAGCCTCGTTTCCCTCTCTTTGGCAGGTGGAAGACTCATTACATCATTGGGTACAACCTCCCAAGCTATGAGTACCTCTATAATTTGGGAGACCAGTATATGTTGAAGATGAGGCTGGTGGACCACGTGTTTGATGAGCAAGTGATAGACTCTCTGACTGTGAGGATCATCCTCCCTGAAGGGGCCAGGAACATCCAGTGGACAGTCCCTATGAGGTCAGCCGAGCCCCCGACGAGCGGCACTATACCTACCTGGACACTTGTGGCCGCCCTGTGATCGTGGCCCACAAGGAGAACCTGGTGGAACAGCACATCCGGGACATCGTGTTGCACTACACCTTCAGCAAGGCGCTCATGCTCCAGGAGCCCCTGCTGCTGGTGGCCGCCTTCTGCATTCTGCTCTTCACTGTCGTCATCTGTGTCAGGCTGGGCTTGCCCATCACAGAGGATCCAGCTGCAGAAGCCAGGATGAAGGTGGCTTGCATGATAGAGCAGGTCTTGAACCTGGTCAGCAAGAGACTAGGTCTCTACCACCACTTTGACAAGACGGTCAGTAGATACAAACTGTCCCAGGACGTGTCCACCCTCAGCAGTGGCAAGAAGAGCCTGGAGACGGAGCACAGGGCTTTGACCAGTGCGGTGGCACTGCTGCAGTCCAGGCTGAAGGCCGAGGGCTCCAAGCTGTGCGACAGAGTGAGCGAAATGCAGAAACTGGACGCGCAGGTCAAGGAGCTGGTCCTGAAGTCAGCAGTGGGGGCTGAGTGGCGGGTGACCGGCAAGCTCAAGAAAGACATGCACGTCGAGAATAAGAAGCTCATTTCAGGAAAGCGACAGGAGCTGGTCAGCAAGATTGACCACATCCTGCATACCCTGTAGCCCTCCAGAGGGCAGGGTGGGGGGTGAACATGGAGGCCAGCAGGTTATGGCTTCTATATTTGCCAAAGGTCTCCAAGGAAGAGAAACTAGGCCTTGCCTCAAGCAACACAGAAGCTTAGTTTTGTCCCTAAGATGGTCTTTGAAAAAAACACACACACACACACACACACCTAGATGTCATTTAAAACAAAATATCTTTGAATTTTGAACAAAGAAGTTTTTGAGTTGGCTTTGTTTATTCTGAAGCCTAGGATATTCTTTTCACCTCAAGCCCCTTGTCTTACACCCTTCTAATTCCTGAGATTTGGGTATTTTACAAGCATGTGTATGTTTTTCAAGCACATATGACTAAATGAAAATAAAGCCAAGGCTGTAAAAAAAAAATACTCTGTATTGAGTCTTTGAAAGCTCTTATTCTTTGATTCATTGATTCCATTTCTGAACGTCTAACCTTGAAAGTAATTCTAAGTTCCTAGAAAAGGTATTCATAATAGTATTGTTTAGTGTCAATTCGAAAGTAACTAAGTGTCCCAGAATAGCTGATTAAGTAAATTGTGGTATAACAACCTGATGGAATACTCTGCAGCCACTTGACCACTAAAGACTAGATAACAAGGCAGAAGTAAAATTTTACAATGTGAAGTTCAAAAAGCACAATAAAACTTCTAATTTTTATATGGCTTTTGCTATGAAAAGTTATGTCTGTACTAGTACAAGGAGCAGTGAAACAGGTGATTTCTTAAGGTGCTAGCACTCCAAATCCATTGTTGTTACAGCTTTGACTAGATGGTAAAAGAACTGGAGGTCTTGTCTCCCCTCCGAGAGATTAGATCTGAGTTGTCTCAGTCACCGTGTTGGTTTGCTTATACTGAGGCCTCATGCTTCTCTTCACCTCAGGCCAGGACGGTGTCCAGAACTAGGGGCCAGGCCGAGCCCACAGGCAGGGCTGAGGAGGCATCCCTGCCAGGGTCAGACAGGTGAAGGAAGACGGGGCCCGCGGGCGGTCACGCCTCTGGCGGCAGATATTCACGGAGGTCTCTCAGGTAGCCTGGGGGTTGCATTGTCTGAGGAAGGTTCTGGACTTAGAGTCAAAATTTTGCAACTCAAGACCTGACCCTGAGGCTCGCTCAGGCATGAGGAAATGTGGTCCAGCCCAGTTACAGAGGAAGGGCTCTGTGTGTCGCTCTCTGTTGCGCACCAAGAAGGCAGGCAGGAATCAAACTCGGCTTTGTCCCTCAGGCAGCCCGGCAGGGAGCAGCTACAGTACCTGGTATACCGCAGGCAGCAGTATTAAACTCACTCAGAGTGCTCAGAGGAGGAGAGCCCTCTAGCACAGTTTGAACATCTCTGCTTTTTTGAGACTCTCCAGTTAGCTTAATTGACGATAATTTCTGCACTGATTGAACAATAATGTTTATTCTCTGTTCACATCTAGCTTTTCATTATGGATTTTAATTCCAGCCTTATAGAACATTGTATATGGAAAGCCCTGTGAGGATACTTTACATCTTTCCAGGGTGAAAAGTCCCCATAGCTCTTCTCTCATTTGTTTTCTTACACTAGATTGCATTTTCCCATCTGGAAAATCCTGTGTGAACATAGAGTAACTCTTGGGCTCACATTTTCCCTGACTTCAGTAACTTATCTTTCTACCTCCTCTACGGGTCATTGGTACCATTTTCTCTACCTCGTTTTCCCCTTAAGCCCCACTCTGAACTTGCCCAGTGAAATGGTAACAGAGTTTTTGCTCTTTAGGAGGTATCGGGACAGAGGAGATAAGACGTGTTGTCCAAGAACACTAGGGGAAGCAGAGAGTGTGAGACTTGGAAGATGGGTAGGATTTAGGCAGGAGAATAAGGGGCTTATTTGGAGACCTCTCAGTGGCTCAGTTTGGAATTAATCCAGGAGTTGTATGATTTCCATTTTCTGGCAATATGGAGCATGGTACGAGAAATGGGATTTATCTTGGTAGATATCCCGGGAGAAAAACAGGTCATCTACGCGGATGCTGCAAGGTTCCCTCCTTGGGCCTGTGAATGGCACAGTGGCTCCTGGAAACCTCAGGATTCGGTTAACAAGTTATTAGGAAATACGAGCAATCCCAGTAAAAGTAGCAGTAAGCTAGATGCTCCTTAAACAGAGTCTTCACACTTCTACAGCATAACCATCATTGTAATGACTATTGTCCACTGAGTGCCTATGTGAGGTATTATTGTCTCCACTTTATAGGTGAGAGAACTGAGGCTCGAAGCGCTAAGAGACTTGCCCAGGATCATACACCTAGTAAGGGCTGTGGGTAAAATTTAAACCCAGGCCCATCATATCTCAAAGCCTGCACGACTCTTTTGCCTCTTAGACATGTGTAAACTGGCAAGGTGGTGAGGATGGCTCAGTTTAACCACTTACCAGGTGCTTTTCTGCAGGGACTGAGAAGGAATGAGATGTGCCATGGGAAATATTAAGAAATTATCTATGTGGTGGACCACTACCACAGTAAAACTTTCAGCTGCAGTGAATCAAGGCCCAGCTTCTCCTTCTGTGAAACTAAAACAGGTCAGTGGGCCAGGTCTCTCAGGAGTAAGTTATCAAGAGAAGAGATGAGAACATTGATTCTGTGGGTGGAAGAGGAATACAGCTGCTAATAGTTGCAGAGATATTGCTAGGAGAATAGCAGTTTACTTCTGGACAGTTCTTTGTAGTTCATGGAACTCCTTCCCTTTCATCATTTCATGATCATTGTATTCCAGCCCTGGTTAATGGGGTAATAGTTTCTCTTCTACAAACTTCTACAGCAAATAGAGGCTCAGTGTTAGTCACCCAGCCGTGTCTGACTCTTTGCAACCCCATGGACTGAAGCCCGCCAGGCTCCTCTCTCCACAGAATTCTCCAGGCAAGAATACTGGAGTGGGTTACCGTTCCCTTCTCCAGGGGAACTTCCTGACCCAGGGATCGAACCCGGGCTCCCGCACTGCAGACAGACTCTCCCATCTGAGCCACCAGGGAAGCCCGTAACTTTCCGTAGGTGGCACAGCTTGTGCCATTTGCACTCAGGTTTTCAAAAGCCACCCTTCCCGCCCCACCCTCCTTTCCACTGTATCTCTGAAGTGCTTGATGGGAACAGGGTGGCGGCGGCGGCGGCTCTGGCAGCTTGGGATCGAGTGCAGGCGACAGGGTCACCAGGTTCTTCAGAGGCCTCTCAGGTCCACTGTCGTTCATTCTGCAGTCTCAGTCTCTCTGAGGAGGAGCATAGGTGTTGACAGCAGTGGCATCTAATAAGGAACTTGATCCTGTATGGTAATTCTTCATGGACAAGACCAGAGAATATAGAACTAGGGGACAGACATCTGGAGGACCTGTTGATGCTGACCCAGAGTATCAGCAAGAACTGGACTGGGAGCTTTTTAAGCTTGACCAAATAATATGATAAAGCAGACATGAACACTTTCCCTAACTTCACATTTGAAGACCCCAAGTTCAAAGTTGTTGAGAAACCACAGTCCTGAATAAATAATGTAAAATTTTTCTGGTAATTTGTGCTGGATTAGTTGTACAATGGGTCAGAAGTAACAATAAACATACATTTCACAGCTGTAAAAAAAAAAAAATAAAGTGATTGATGGGAGAGCCCAAGATGATGCTTGTCAGAAGGAATTGTGTGAAGTGTAAAGAATGAGGTGAAACAAACAGAATCATTAAGACTAAATACCAGATTCAGTAAGAAAACAGCAGGATCAAAGGAGTTCTTCCTGAAGACAGGGTGCCCGAATGGGCTTAGGTGTGTCAGCTGCAAATATGGTCCATAGAGGAAATGAAGAGGTGGGAGGGAAATACATGGAGAAAGGAGTGGAGGACTCATGTGAAGAATAGGATAGCAAACCTACTTCAGGTGGAACCCACTTTGGAGGGACTAAGGGAGGGAGTGGCAGGTTTAACAGAGCAGGGAGGTAGGAGAGGCTGTCTGGGGATCAGGGACTCTTGTGCATTTGTGAGGAAAGCAGAGCCTCTCCACAAGTTTTGAAAGATTGAAATTATACCAAAAAAGAGTGAAGCTCAACTGTGTAATAGACACCTCATAAAACAGAAAGTGGGGAGTATTCTTAGATAAGACATAAAGGCATCAAAACTGGGTACACTCATTATAATTAAGCTACACGTTTTTTAAGGGACATTATTGGGAATGAAGAACTGAATTTAGGGGTCACATCTTTGGAATGCTGTGGGAAGTACTTAGGCTTCCCAGGTGGCGCAGTGGGAAAGAAGCCACCGCCAGTGCAGGAGACGAAGAGACAGGAGTTCGATCCCTGGGTCCGGAAGATCTCTGGAGGAGGAAATGTCAACCCACTCCAGTATTCTTCGCTGGGAAACCCCATGGACAGAGGAGCCTGGTGGGCTACAGTCCCTGGCGTCACAGAAGACTTGGACACAAGTCATGCACACACTCAGAGACACGCAGATGGGAGGCGTTTACTCCCACGCCTCGTGTCCTGTTCTTCTCCTTGCTTGGACTACTGAGGCCACAAACCAGACTGCCAGCTCTGGCTGTTTTTGGATGTCAACCAGGTGTCGTTTCCTTGACTCTGCCTTCATTGGATTCCATGAGCTGCGATGAGTAGCATTCCTGAATCCTATTCTAAAGATGCTAACTGTTCTTTAAGAGTACTATGACTGGATATCACAAACCTTTTAATAGAAGTAGCCATGTGACACTCACAGTCAGTCCCCAAAGACCCAGAAACTGCAAGAAGATGCTTTAAAAGTAAATTTGCTTTTCATATTCTGTGAGAAGTTTAGCAATTTCAGCATCAGGGAGCATTACATGATTCATCTTCACGTTTGTTCTTTAAGACCTCCCCAAATAAATTTGTTACGGCTAGTGAATGTAATTATTTAAGAAACTCTTTTAATTCATAATGATAGTTGGGGGGAGAGTGGTAATTTGATACAGACATTTTATTATTTTTTGCATTTGTGTTTAATTGGAGGATAGTCGCCTCACACTG